CCCACCCCTTAGCCACTGAAATCCCATTTAGCTCCCGGTTTTCAGCCGCACTGGGATTTAGAATCATTAAACCACGAGTGACGTGGCGTGGCGCGGCCGGTCCAATTCGAGAAATATAGTATTATATGTAGGGGTTCCTCCAAANNGAATTGGGGATACTTCCTGAGAGGGTCAGGCTCTTGTTGACCGGGCATATGTTGACCATTGTTTCTGCATTACCACCATAGATGCAAGATACGATTCAAAAGCATCTCAAAACATATGAATTTTAAGTTCTTGCTCATGGGATCCGTCCAGGCTACAAAAGACTTGTAGGTGCTCCCTCCGTTTTCACCTGGAAATTACATCAAGCCTGGCAGGGGCTTGCATGAATATAGTGAACCCAGGGATGATTGTCGCCGGGATGGACTGAGAAGTATAGGGATTATCTGCCGTAGGGATTAATATGGCTTGTGAATACGGATTATATAGGGGTTGTATGGGGATTCTACAGGGGTTTTATGGGGGTTCTGTAGGGATGATATGCAAAACCACCCGAGCCTCGACGAGGCGGTCGTAGAACGCATCCACGCGCTCACCGTCGACATTGAAGCAACGGAAAAAGGCACGAGTCCTAAGGATAATGGGCTCAGGGTTTAGGATACAGGGGCTCTTGGGGACGAAGATTTTGGATTGACGGATCTTGGGTTTCCTTTTGAGTTAAGGACGCGTAGGTTCTTGAAGGTCCCGGGCTCAGGGTAATATAAGGGCTCACATCATTACCAATATCATGTTGAGGTCTATTTGAGGTACTCTATGGATTGCCCTATACCATAGTCATACAAGGAATCTTGGACCGTAAGATCGGCACCATGTTCTTTCCATCTGATGCCCAGCATTGAGAAAACTACGGGATTTTGGATGGGAAAAACCAACCCTAGACCCAAACCCTAAACCCTAAACCCCAAACCCAACAACCGAAGGTAGAGGTTGAGGCTTTGGGCTTAGGACCCGAAAAACAAATAGGATTCCTGGGCCCTGAGCCTCACCTGCACTCTGGGTTTAACGATTTCAGGGCTGAGGGTCTAGGGTTTTAGGTTCAAGGTTTAGGGTTGAGGGCTTGGGGTTTAGGGTTTAAGGTTTTGTCCTGCATTTGTGTAGGATATATACCCAAACTCTAAACCCTACATATATCCCCACAACTCTAAACCCTAAACCCTGTACACCCTAGGCCCAGGACATTGAGGGTCTGGCCCCCCCTGAAGACCCGGGGCGTCTTGGTATCTTGACTGCCCTAAACTACAGGACACAAACGCCAGGGACCTGAGGTTTAATGTTGGGAAATTTAGGAGTTGTTGTTTTTTTGGGTTTCGGGTTTGGGGTTTAATTTCTGGTTTAGACACGCGCATCGCACAGCAGGAAATTAGGGTTGAGTTTTTTTTGTGGTGTAGGGTTTATTGGTTCGGGGTTTAGAGCTTGAACCCGCTGATGCCCTACACTGCATGATCGCTTTCAACTGCAGGCTAAAGTCACGAGGTGATACGTCCCATGGTCTTCATTTGAGCTATAGTCTACGTAAACTCCTTGTATCCCCCTTAATATCCCCTATAGTAGTCCTTATGTAATCCCTTATATACCCCTTTTAGGAGTTTAGATTATGGCTCAGTTTTGGCAAAACGGACAGCAGTCATGGTTGTTGGCAGAGCGAAAGAGCTGCCCCTGTGTCAATAAGAAATATTATACACGAATGAACAACTAGTAAAGGCGTAATTCTGCTGAGTGCACGCAACTGCAAAGAGTAGTCAAGGTGCTCTTCATCTATAGTCTCCCCAATAGGACACTCAATATATACAATCATCAAAATCCGTAAAGAAACCCCACATGCCCTCGCCAACGCACCATGCACAAAATCCTAACTCTTTGATCCACCATACCATCCCATCCTAATTACCATTTGATTTTCCATGCTCTGTTTTCCATGTGATTCACATTTCTTGGGTAAACCTTGCGTACCCCTACACAGCCCTATATGTACACCATAATGAAACCATAGTTGGTACACTTGAGCCGACAGGTTCCTGGGCCTGCACACATCATTGCGGTTTGGGGTTTAGGGTCAGCTCATTGACACATCAAGAAACATCATAGCCCTCCGCATCAATCCTAGATTTCAAGGGTCGGAAAAGAAGAGCTTGCTTTGAACTTACTGGGAGTTTCAGGCTCGTGCTGCATGCGAAGCCCCATCGATGCAAGCACCGTTAGAATTGAAGTGAGCTGCCAGCTGGAGCAGTTTTAAGCCGTGTTCCATCTAAGGTGACTACATCAACCACAGAAACTTCCAAGAAACCCAAGCCTTCTAACCCTATACACTTGAGGGCTTCCGTGTTACCAGGCAGTAACATTCCTAGGCAGCTATGTGGTAGTGTTGCAAAATATGGGGCCCCTAATTTTATAAGGACCCCAAAATACTATAGCCGTTATTATCGGGACCCCAAAATAGTAGCCCCAATGTTGGGAAACCCTAAACCCTAAACATTCCGTATATAACCCCTATATAACCCCCTTCAAAAGTAATTTTGGGAAACTATAGTGTGTTGCCATGCATGCAGCCGAGCAGCTCGTTTTTAGTGATGCGGTCCTTCCCAGGTACGCCTTGACAGGGTCCAAGAACCCCCCAACCCGCAAGCCACAAAATCCCTAAACCCAACATCTCAGCCTACTCCCTGTCAACCTCTCCGTAATCCCAGCTTCCATGTTATAATCCGTTGTCTTTTCCATTTGAGCAGTCCTTGAAGCAACATCCCTGAACTCTAAACCCGATACAGTGATACATGTCAACCCCGAACCCTACACCCCCGCCAAACTCATGAATACCTGGGTTGGTCCCTAAAGCCCTTTGAAAAATATCAGTATATAGGGTCCCCTATTAAAGCCATTAGGGAAAATATTGAATATTTCAGGGGCCTACCCAGATACTTGATTTAAGGTCAGGGGTTTGAGGTATAAGATGTATTTTTCTTCTTGATGGGACCTTTGCTCCAAGGCTCAAGCCCCTAGAAATGCTGTCGCAGCACGGTCCAAACAGACAACCCTCACTCAAAGCCTCAAAGGTTTAGGGGTTACGTATTACCTAAACCCCAAAAGGTGTGTAAAATAATAGCCCTAAACCCATAGAAATAGCCATAAAGGCCATTATTCTACATACTTTTGGGGTTCAGGTAAACCTTGAAAGACCCTAAACCCTAAACCGGTTTAAGGTTTAAGGTTTAGGGTTTGAGGCCCACCCGCCTATGCAGCGGTAGGCCTTCTTGGGCTGCATGGAAGCCTTGCCCTGCACAGGAGAAGGCAAGCTAAACCCGAGGGGTTTAGGGTTTGGGGTTGGGGGTTTAGGGGTTTGAGGTTT